TCCAAGCTGTCGTGAAAACGTACCTGCTTGGTGCACCTGGGCGCATTATAAGACGCAGCTGGTGGCCACCCTTCTTCCTTTTGTAAAGTGCTAGTGAGCTCCGCAGACTTGCACGTCACGACGTCATCTTGTCGGTTCGTCGCTCGTCTTTTTCCCTTTGGGCCCTACTTCCTCTTGAAGACCTCCAGGATCCAGTGGTTTATACATGTACCCTTAGGAAATGGAACCCTAGGCCGGCGTGTGGCGCCGCTTTCCGTTCAGTACCTATCCTAAGTGTGTGTCAACCCCTGTACCTAAGGGTTCCACCTTGTTTTTAGTTTGAATGCTTCTTCACCAGGGGGCGACAGGGTCACTGCATAGCTGTCGCCAACGAAGCTCTATGCAGATGACCAGGATGCAGGGACTGATCATCCCTGTGTACCTGCTTCAACTTTTAAACAAGCTGTCCAATCTCCCTTTTTGGTTCCATGGTGGTTCATGATACCTTCCCCCAAACCTTTTGCCGCTTTCTCATGCAGCTGAGTCGCGCTGACGTTCGCCACCGCAGACATGTCAACAGTTTGTTCAAATAATACAAGTGCGCTGACCTTTTCACCTTGCGTTTCCCTCACCTTCCTTCTCAACGTGGGAATTGAGTTAACAGCAAACCAATGTCAGAGGGTGAACCGCTCAGCCGTCCTCCTCCGCAAGGAGGCGCTGTTTTCAGACCGGTACTCATTTCCCTGATTTATCGTCGTTTCATCGTGGATCACTGTCGCTACTTCCATGCCAATACTGAATTAACAGGATTAAAAGCCGCCGGGCTTTCACGGATACCACAGCCGCCGGGCTAAAAAACGGAATTCAACCCACTTGAGGCAGGTTTCCCAACCCCCCCCCACCGAGTTCTACTCCCTACCTAATTAGGGTAACACAGGGAAATGGTACTCGGCACACTTGTGCGTCGGTGCCTTTCCCTCTGTTGTCCCTTTTCTAGTCTTCTCTACCCGGGCGGTCTAAGACTAAAGTCCCGCTCCAAAACTACTGCGCGTAATTCGCTTCTGCTAAGTAGTCAGTAACTCTAGAGTGCTAAGTATTCATACGCACACACGGACACACACATGTACATACACCTCCCTGCCCCCCCCACTTTCCTTCTTGCGCTTTTGGTCGTTTCTTGGGCTTTCACTCAGGCCTTTTAGGTTGCTCTTGAGGCTCGTTTCCCTACCCCAGTCAAGGGCTAAGTATTCACTTTTTTCTACACCTACCTTTCTCTCTTGCCCTCTTAGCGCTGCTCTTTCTGTGTTTCTTTTGTTTCTAAGGCTTTTTAGGTAGCTATTCAGGTTCTTCGCACGAGCGCCGCAAAGCGGCACCGTGTGTGTGTGCGTGTCAACCCCTGTACCTAAGGGTTCCACCTTGCTTTTAGTTTTGAATGCTTCTTCAGCAGGGGGCGACAGGGTCACTGCATAGCCGTCGCCAACGAAGCTCTATGCAGATGACCAGGATGCAGGGACTGATCATCCCTGTGTACCTGCTTCAACTTTTAAACAAGCTGTCCAATCTCCCTTTTTGGTTCCATGGTGGTTCATGATACCTTCCCCCAAACCTTTTGCCGCTTTCTCATGCAGCTGAGTCGCGCTGACGTTCGCCACCGCAGACATGTCAACAGTTTGTTCAAACAATACAAGTGCGCTGACCTTTTCACCTTGCGTTTCCCTCACCTTCCTTCGCAACGTGGGAATTGAGTTAACAGCAAACCAATGTCAGAGTGTGTGCCCCTTGTAGTCACAGGGATCCGTTTGGATTGTACTTTCATTGTACTTTCATTTTAGAGCAGGGGGACTGGAGCCGATTTGCCTATCCAGTCCAACGAAGCTATGGCATTTCGGTGGATGAGTGGTCTGATCAACCACTTGTACCTGCGCAATTTTTAACCTTTGGTATAGGGCTAATGCATTGGCAGTCCGCCGTCATCCTGTTCGACCCGTGATCGTCGATTGGTTTCTTCCGCTTTGGGCCACTTCTCCTTTTGAAGACCTCCAGGATCCGTTGGTTCTCACGTGTACTAATAGGAAATGGTAACCTAGGCTGGCGTGTGGCACCGCTTTCAGTTCAGTACACCCTATCCTAAGTGTGTGTGTATGTCTACACAACCATATATAGACAATATGTGATAAAATATGTCCGATCCAATACAATCAAATGATTGTGGACATAACTCACATACTTATTTCAAAGTGTATTTTTGAGACTTTTGCACAAAGTGTAATCCAAAGTTACAACACTGCAGTTTGTCAGTCTGATTGATTGACTCGACATTGATCCACAACTTTCCGATGCCCATGGACCTGTGTGTGGAGCTCCCATAAATCCAGGGCATTCAAGATTCTGCGTTGCTTTTGCTACGGCTGGGCCATCATACCTTTTGTGGATGCGTTCAACATTGAGGTCTAAGCAACTTGTGTGTTTACTTAATGTTAGGATGTCTCGCACCTTTTGGAATTGTCTTGCATATAGAGTTTAGGTCCTGGTATTGTTTGGCAAGGTTCATGCACTTATCCGATTCAAGAGGAATCTCGGCGAACAAGCAAGCCTATGCAAAGCGTAATACAATATGCACCTTCATCTTTACTGACTTTCCCGTGGGCAAATGTCTACGCAGCTTCTTTGTTTCAGATTTTGGGTTCTTGCAGGGTAGTTGTCGTTTTGCGACTGGGCATTGACTTACTCCACAAATTGACAAACTGCTTGCGCCCTTTCCTGCTCACAAGTTTCTTGTCTGAACAACGTTCGTACAACATCGTGGTATGTCACCTTTTGCAAAGCAGTTCACCCTGAACCCACAAATTGTGTCTTTGAGTTTCCTTCAACAACCATACGGGGCTTCCAAAGAAGCGATGCTTCCGATTACAATGCGTTGTGTAGCACTGTAGAAGAAACACTCAAATGTCTTTGTTGGTTGACTGTCATGCCATGTTTCCTCTTCAGGTGGATGGCAGTTGTCTTGTCTTGCCTGGCCTCGAGTTCGTGGACCTACAATGAGAAAACTGGACCGGCCCATGCACAGTCCTTGCCTCTGTGCTTATCTGCTTAAATTTAGCTTGTCTTGTCTGACGAGGCTTTGCAAAAGTCCTTCTCAGTGCGTTGGCACCCTGAGGCGGTCACAGCTAAATTAATACGCGCGAGGATTGGAGGAAACAATTGCGTCAAGGATGGAATTTCATTGCGCGGAAGTGCGGAAACGTCGCTTTTCTGAAAGCGTCAAACAGTTTTCCATGGCCAATGAAACGCTCCGATTCTTCGACCTTTGGGCTGGAGACACCACGCTTGCTCGTCTGCAAACGCAGGCGCATGCTCAGCACACCAGCAAACAGTCAGTAGCTGGCCCCGCACAAAAACAATAAAACCTTGCGGAAAAGTGTCCGTATTGAGCCAGTTGTGGTTCATCTCTTGAATGAAATAGCGGGCATATATGGCCTGAGTTTGCAGCCAAATATATATATATATATATGTGCTGCAAACCGAAATGACACGTGACTGCAAAATCGCGAGACGTGGTTGTCTTCCCTTTGTCTTCGTCAAAACGCCCCAAACAATGCAACAACAACAAGAGCAACTGGCAAAACTAGGTCGTTGAACTTGCAAAATGTGGCAGGCGCTCTCTTCCGCCACGAAAGGCATAAACCAGTATGCAGGTCCTTGTTTTATGATGTTTTATGATAAAAGGCAAGGAACTGTTGACAAAACACAATTAGCAAGAGGTCGTCGTGTATGAAAATACCAACCCAACTCCATGAGAACACTGCCCAGGTGACCTGTAAGCACGCTTCCAGCAAAGAAGCAGGGCTATGATGGTGCACCAGCAGACTAGCAAAAGCTGACCAGATTGGCAGCAACAGCACCTCCAGCTGCAGCTGCATCAAACCACCAAGATCGAGACAAGCAAGCAAGCAAGCACGTGGGTACGTACGCACGCACGCACGCACGCAAGCAACCTCCCCAAAGAGCTATAGCCAATTGCAGTAATCGCGCAAATGCCTTCGCGCGGATCTTTGAGCACTCAGTCTTGAAATGAAAAGGATGAGTACTTTTGTTGTAGTTTCGCGCTCTCCTTTTGGGCACAGTGAGCGTAGCCCCTTGCCAAACTCATTCAGCAGTCTAAAAGCTGATAAAGTTCCGCCGTCAATTCAAACAACCGTCCTGCTTTCTGTCTATTTCCTACTTCTACAGCAATGATGTCCTGCCTGGCTCTCAGCGCTGCCCTCATTCACAGCAAGTTCCGGTGGTTGAGCTGCTCCGCCGAAATCTCCCCCACCGTCTCTGACCCCTTCATCTCTACATACCCCACACACATACCCCACACCAGCAGCATCATTCGAGCCAGCTGCATCGCCTTCTTGTACTTCACCTTCTCCTTGATCTCCTCGTAGCTTTGCGTCCGCCCCAATCAGTCAGTGAAGGCTTCCAGGAGCCATTGCCTCTGCCCTCCTCTCTCCCTCTTCATCTATTGCAGCGCCACATGATCTCTCGATCTCTCTGTTGGGCGGTCTTGCTAGCCAACTCCTTGAGAGCGAAACACAGCTGCATCGTTTGGAGAGGTCAATTTGGATTCAGAGGTTGCTGGCAGTTTGCGCTTCTTGGCCACCATAGTTCTCCTCAAACAGGTGGATCATCTTCGCGGCGTACTGGCCCGGCTTCACTAGAAGACCTTCATCTACCCACACATAGGTCCGCTCCAGGAATGAAACCTCATTTTGTGGTATGTTCGCAATGCTCACCTCCACTTGGAAGTCCTTCGTCAAGTCCTCCACGAACCACTTTTGAACGTCCACTGAACATGATGTCATCCATGTGGATCAGGAGGCTCATGGATGCGCCACGTTGAAGGAAAGTCCTGGTTCTCGATCAGGTAGTCGTGGACGCGCTCACACCAGGCCCTTCCTCGTATCATCCAAGGCCTGTTGAAATGTAGTGGGGGTCTTGTGGAACTTGCAGAAATGCATCTTTGATGCCTAGTCTAGGCAATCACTGGTTCTCCAGCAATCACTGGTTCTCCAGCCTCTTCATCTCCATTGTGCTCCTTGTTCCTCATCTCCGGGAGTAGTGCTGGTAGGAGTCGTAGGGTTCCACTTGCTGGAGAATAGACATCATCCCTCTTATCATTGGCAAACTCTCTCGCCGCCAAGCGTGATCGCCTTTCTCACGATTAGGCAATGTCCTGGTCTTGATTCCAACTTGTCCCGGTGGAAGTCCTCTATCTTCGAATCCTCGATCACTCCCATCTTCTTCAACTCTTCTTCAACCGTTGTTCCTCAATCTGGTCGCAAGCCCTTTCACCTCTGTTCCAGGCAGTGCAGGTGTTCTAGTCAAAGCTGCCTCACTGCCTCACTCCAAACTCCAGTCATCCTCCTCCACGTCTTCATCCACCTCCAACTCGATGGTGTCGGCGTCAGTCGCCTCATCCTCACAAAAAAGACGCCTTTTGCTCTCTGATAAGTCAATGTTGTCGACCATTGTCAAAATGGCTTGTGCAGCGGTGCGGGATTTTGTCTGTGATAGATAACCATTTTGACCTCTGGAGGTGTTGCGAGCGCCAACCACATGAGGACATATGCGATGGAAGCGGTTTTGCCTCCGCCCAACACCCTGGCCAGTGCGAGGCATCCGAAGTGCGGCGGCACGGGCAGCAATGATTATTACCGTATGGCCCGCGTCTGTGTGGGCTTCTTCCCAGAGTTGTCGCGCAAAGGCGCGATCATCGTCCGGGAGGAAATCACAATTGCCAGTGCAGGAGGAAGGTAACCAAGAGGAGAAAGCTCCGCAAGAGTTCAGATTGTGTGCCACTCGCAAGACTCGCGCGCTTCCTCTTGAGCATCGCCAAGTGCAAGGGCCCGCGGGCCGTCGGGTTTGGGGAGCTTAGTTATTCGCAGTAAGTGATCAGCGTGAACTGTTTTGCCCAGCAACAGCATTTGTGTCAGGGTGATGGGTAACTAGTTAGGTTGGAGTCGCAGGAGTTGGTCCGGGAAGCAATTGTTCGAGCTGTGTAAGTCTAGATGTGGCCACAGTGGCCACTGCAGCCGGGTGCTCGGACTGCGCTCATTTGCGTAGTGCATCTCTTCACCTTCGACGCGCGCCTTCTCAATTTGCCTCTCAACCATTCTCACGCGTACTCTGTGGCGTTGCGACAGAGGAGGATGCTGCGCCAGGATTTGCGGTCCTTGTCTTGGCATCATCTTGTTGAGGCGCTCGTGGGCTGGTTCAGCATCTCCTTCTCGTGCCAGCAGTGCCTAAACTTTTTGCCTCTTCAAGTTCTCGTCGCTCTTCTTCAATGCCTTCCTTTGATCCAGCATAGGCCTTGACTACCTCTGTGCCCTTGCGTCCTCATCTTTATGGCAGAAGAGGATCATGTCTGCTGGTGGGCAACTTCCAGTCTTCAATGAAATGTCCCAACGCACGCTTTGTAGGGACAACTCAATCCTTTCGAAGTTGACCTGGTACGTTGACGTGTAGGTCTGGAAGTCCTGGAAGCGCAGGCTCGAAGCTGGTGCTGCCCTTGCTTGCCTGGAAGCGGTTCAGAAGCCAGCAAGCACGCGCTGCCCAACTCCAAAGGCCATGTGCGCGTACCCGCTGGATGGCAAATTCTCTGCAAGTGAATTGCCTGCAAAACTTGTCTCCATACAGGCCGACCTCAGTGTGGCCTATGGTCTGGAGTCTGGATGAACGTCATGGTCTCACCAACCATGATGTTCAGCTGGCCCCTTGACTTCAGAGGCACCGCGCCCAGGTAGCCTGTCGCTTGTCTGGCTATCCGCCATCTTTCTTCTCGCCACCTTCTTCTCCTCCTTGATCTTCTGCTCCATAGATGTCCACTGCTTCTCCATCACCTTCATCAGGGGAGCTCGATCCATAGCGCCAGCTTTGGTGTAGCAGAAGCCTACCGGGAACCCAGTGAACCACATGCTTGTCAGGTCGCCCTCTGTGTAGCAAGCAGGCCTCACACCATGGGGCATACGGCGTATGTGTGAGGCTGCACCACTGATCTTGTTCTTCTTGGTCAGAGATTGGGCTGCCGAGGCTCCTCCATTTGGGCTGCGGCCAGTGCTTCTGCTGCAGCTTTCAACTCTCTCTCCTTCATGTGAGCCACCAACCGCTCGAGGCACTTGCTTCTGCTGCCGGATTGGCTGATGCCAAACAAATTGCAGGCTGCTCTCAACTGTCTCAATGGCGATGTTGACCGTAGCTCAATTTCATTCGCCACGATCATTTCAGGCAGCACCTGCCTAACAACCAGCCTTCCTTCTTGCTCCACGTCCGCTGGCTTTGCTCAACTCCCCAGCTGAAATCCCACCATCGCGACAACTCGTCCTTATGCTTCTTGGGGTCGAGTCCCGAGGGCTTTGGCAACACTTCGCCCACTCCGGCGCTCTAGGGCAGTGGCCAGTTGCCTTCACCCTAGGGCTCCTTCACCACGTAGGGCTCTCCACCACCTCGGCAGCTGATCCTAGAAGCGCCCGTTGACCCAGCAAATTTGGCATCCTGTCCCCTAGATTCGCGAGCCTCGCCTCTGGCCACTCCGCTACCACGCGAATCTTTCAGCGCTCACAAGTGGTCTTGGGCGCGATGCTTCTCGATTTGTGCTGCGCCGCAGTGCGCTATGTGCGCCGTGCGCGCCATCTGCGCCGTCGTGCGCTGTCGCGCTGCCTGCGCCCGAACCGCAGTGGAAAAAATGGTCTGGAGGTAGAGGTGGGGGCTTTGGAGGGAGGGAAATGGAGATGATCCCACCAGGGTCAAAAGACCTGACAGTCTGACAGTTAGGTCTTGGCACAAGCGTGAGCAGGTTTGCCGGATCGATCCACTCCTTTGCCATGGCGCGCTGGATTTGCCTTTCTGCTAAGGATTGCTTGTTCTACTAAGGATGCAACCTGTCACATGGTGCTGGCCGTGGACGCGTTTCAATGGATGATGCCTCCTTGCGTGGGCTTATCTTCTCCCATCATGGCCACGCCCATTCAGGAAACTCAGTGGAAGTTCCCTTTTGGTCGAACTTGGATTTTTACTGCGCATCCTGTCCTACATCAACTTCTTCCTGGGCTTGGGGCACCCAGTGCACACTCTCTTCAGAGGATTTTCTCCAGTCCGGGGCGGGATGGCTGGTCTTCTCCGTCGGGGAAACTTCACAACCATTGCTGAGAGCAGCACGGCGCAATTCTGCTGCGTTTCTTTTCAGATTGGATCTCACGCGTGGGGGCCGCCAGCGGCTGACCGGGAGACCGCGGCTTTCCTCCATCCACATTTTTGAGTTCCTCCACAACGTGCGCAACATCTCTTTTGCCTTGACGCGCAAGCGGTCACGAACCCCACAGTGCGGCGGGGGGAACGCCTCCTTCGTGTCGATTTCCAAGTTTCAATTTTGATTTTAGCGCGCTCATTGGCAGCACTGTGAACTTCACCCTAGCATGGTGCTGCCCCCCCTCCGA